AGCAAGTCGGGGCCCCCTCGCTATCGACGATAGTCCAGAGCAAGGAAGTACAGAGCAGTCCTGAATCTCAGTCTTCTGCAAACCAGAGGCTTGCCACTGAGCCCAGGTGACCCGAAAGCTGCAGAAAAGAGAGGTTGTGCCTGGCACACGGAGGCCGCCTTGCCAGCCTGTGCTCTTGATCCTGCGCCTGCCGCCCCGGACTCACCTGGCCCGGGGCCCTGCGGGTCCTTCAGCTGAGCCTTGAACCGCACGCCCGTGAGCTCTTCTTTGCGGGCCCGCTTGGCTGCGCCCGCGGAGGAAGCCGCGCCGTCCTGGCCGCTCGAGGCCTTCCTCTTGGAGACCCCCATGGCCGACAGGGCGGAAGCGCGACGGAAACGACACACCTGAGGGGTCCCGGCAGGAACACTAGCACAGACAGCGGACACGCGCTTCAGGACCACATGGGGCAGGAAGGGGCGGGGATACCGGAAGAGGCGGGGCTCGGGGAAACGCAGGCGGAAGGCGCAGGCCCGCGGGAGGCCGGGACCGGCGGAAGGGGCGTGGCCTTTGGAAGGGGTAGGCCGGCGGGAATCCAGAGGCGTGGGTCTCCCTGTGAGTTTGCTGTCCCGGTTGGCTCGGTCACGGCATGGGGCGAGCGGACACTCCACGACACTCCCCTCCCCCTGCTGCGGGGTTTGGGGTCCACTGGGGCGCGCTCCTGATCCCGGTGGCTCTCTCGGGTGCTCTTGGCAGGAAGAACTCCCAGACCTTTCACTCCTGGCCCGGCCGGCGCATACAAGCAGCACAATGAGTAGTTCTTGACCCGAGGTCGCCCTGACGGTGTCGCATGAAGAGCTTGCTTCACACACAACAAGATTCGATACTTTGCCAATTCGAGACCCGGGTGGCTGGCAGGGAAGGCGGATTCGCCTTGGCTAGGTGCCAGGCAGGTCCCCCTCTGCGGGTGCCCCTGACTTCGACCCCTAGCTTATGTCACAGCCCGAACCAGATCGACTGGTCTGGTAGGATGTCACTCCAGACTGTCCTCCACCCCAGACTTCCTCAAACTGATGGGCTCTTTGTGCCGTGCAGGGTGGGAGGAGAAGACCAAACTAAGTAACGTCTGTAAAACCCCTTCCTGGACAGCATAAGGCCTCCACATCTAAGTTTCTGCCATTAAAATGGAGACAGCAAAGCCAACCCTATCCAGTCCTTGGGACTGTTATGAACAGAAAATGATGCAATGTATGAAAAACTGCTTTAACGAGGAAAACAATACAGTGTGTTTTTGGAAGATGTTATTGACTTGTGAACCGCATTAAATGCTCTGAAATAAAATGAAAGTAAAAATGAATAAGTAAAAACAGGCTGGTACATATTTTAATACGACTTCATCAATACTTGGGTATGTGTCCAAATAATTCATGAACCAGCGCATTAGATAAGTAACTTGGTGATTACTGAAATTCTCCATCAGGTTGTCCTCTAGTCTAAGAAAATAGTGTTTCATATTCTGTAAGCAGATATGTTTTGAACATCTAAGGATGTGGCCTTTTGTGGCCTGTTGGGGTTGTAGAGTTTCTAGTAGAAAAAGCACGTGTGTTGACGCTGAGCCTCTGTCCTGACAAGATTATTGTGCTTGTGGAGATGTCTGTTGTAGGCAGGTCAGAGACGGTGTCACCCCCAGCAGATATGAGCTAATGCAGCAGTATTGACAGGGGGATATGCTCAAAAAGTCATCTGTAAAAGGCAGCACTCATTGGTGAATACAGGCTTAATTCTGATTGATTATCCACACTGGTCCTCTTTGGTTAATTGCTAACCACCAACTTTGTTTTCTGCCATGGTGGTCCCAACCAAAGAGTTATCAGAGAGTTCAGAAACAGTCAAAAGCCCTGAGTTTGGTTTCTGCCTGTGTGATCTTGGTCAAATGACCATCTCTCTGCGCTGGTTTGCTTTACAAACAATTAAGAGCATGAGGAACTTCCCAGGATTATCCAGCTAGTAACTGGTGGAGCCAGGACTCACCCAGTGTATCCTAGTCCCAAATTGAAAACAAAGAAACAGAAGTTGGCAGTGCCCATTTACAGCCTTAGCCAGAGATGTGTGTGATGGCAAGTGTGGCTCAGGAGTGCATTTTGATGCTTTAGACTAAGTTAATGCCATGAAGCATTGATGCTGGGTTAACCCTTTGTTCGGTTATGAGGCTCACCAACCTCTGGATAGTGACTTGGCTTTCCATATCAAAGCTTTGCATTATTTGCCTCCAGGAGCATTCTGGTTTGTTGCAGACTATGTGGTACTGCTCCTAGGACATTCTAAGCTGAGGGAAAAAAGCTGAGGTCTTTTGTACTCGTTCTTTCTCTTTGAAACTCTTTGCCCAGAGCTCAAGTGGCTCAGATAGTCACTTCATGTGGACTTTTCCTGTTCATACCTCACTCTCTGTCTCCTGACCTTTCTTGATTGGGCCTATTTCATAAAGACACTAATTCCATCTGAGGGCTCCCCCCTCATGAGCTAATCACCTCACAAAAAGCCCCCCACCACCAAATAATATCACATTGGGGATGGGGTTTCAACACAGTGAATTTGAGGGGGACACAAACATTCAAACCATAGCACTTTCCCAACGTGAAGATGATTTTTCAGTTAAGTTCTAACAATCTTTTCAGAAACAGATAATTCTCACCTTGTGCAGTTTGTTCCACAAAATAAAAAATAAAGTATCCCAACATATTTTACGAGCCTCATATAACCTTAAATACAGAACAAGCTAAGGATAATACAAAGTATGAAAATGATGAACTTATTTCAAGTATGGATATAAATGTGTGTAAATAGAATATTAGCTAACTGAATACAAAGCTGCACTTGAAAAAAAACACAAGAAATACAAGGAAATAATATCTTGCTTCTATAACTCACCACAATAATGGATTAAAGGAGAAAAATCCATTATGATTTCAATAGATGGAAAAAGACATTTGAAAAAATACCTATTTATGATTTTAAAAGTTCACATAAAACTAGGAATAGAAGGACTTTCCTTAACTTGGTAAAGATTATATACCAAAACCCTGCAGCAACCATCATGAACAATGGGAAAACTTTACATGCCCTTGAATTATAACTGGGAACAATAGGAAAAACAGGGATGTCCACCATGCTACTATCTATTACGAGAGGTCATGGCTAGTGAAATAAGGCAAGACAAAGAAGAAGTGAAACTGTCATCTAATTGGAAAATTCAACAGAAATGCAAACTAAATAAGAGTTTAGCAAGGTTGTCAGACAAAAAATCAGTTACCAAAATTGGTAGCATTACCTCTACATTAGCAATAGCTAATTTATATATGTAGGAGAAGCTGGGTATGGTGGCTCATGCCTGTAATCCCAGCGCTTTGGAAGACTGAGGTGGGAGGATCACTTGAGCTCAGGAGCAACATAGTGGGACCTTGTTTCTCCAAAAAAAAAGAAAAAAAATTTAAGTAGCAGGGTATGGTGGTACATATCTGTAGTCCCAACTAATCAGGATGCCAAGGTGTGAGGATTGCTTGAGCCCAGAACACTGAGGCTACAGTGAGCTGGATTGCCCCACTGCACTCCAGCCAAGGCAACAGAGGGAGACCCTGTCTCAAAAAATAAAATAAATATAAAACAAAAATAAATAAATACGTGATAGAAAACAAAGCACCATTTAGAAAGAATGGAGCGATGTCAAAGAGTCATAGGAACCAACTTGAAAGAACTCCCACTGGAACAGTTTTGGTGATAAAATGAATAATATAGCATTGGATCATAACCTAGGGTAAAAAGTAAACATATGTAAGTCCATACTGATATAAAAATGACGATCACCAGGCATGGTGGCTCATGCCTGTAATCCTTGCACCTTGGGAGGCTGAGGCAAGAGGATCACTGGAACCCAGGAGTTTGGGTCCAGCCTGGGCAACAGTTTAGCAAGACCCCATCTCTAAAAGAAATAATAGTAATAATAAAATAAAAATAAATTGGTTGCTAAGTAAATAAATGGGGGAGAAGAGATAAATCTTCCTTACAAAAGTAATCCAAATAATATATGTAGATACGTCCCACTTCAAGAGGTGGAGCTTAATTCAAATACTCCTCCGCACTTCCCCAGTGTAGGTTTAGTGACTTACTTCTAAAGACTGGAATATGAAAAGGGAAAAATGATAACTCTATAATAGAGAAGCAAGGCAAACACTACCTTATCCAAGGGATCAAAGTTAATGTCATGTATATGCTGTTAGATGTACATAAATCAAGTTACTCTTATGTACCCCTGATGTGATGTGTGATGAAGATGCTTTGCCTCTGTATATCCTTCCTGAAACCCATAATCCCAGTCCAATTGTGTGGAAAACATCAGACAAACCCAAATTGAGGGACAGTCTAAAAAGTACGTGAGCAGTACCCTTTAAAACTGTCGAGGTCATGAAAAGCAATGAAGAACTGAAACATGACCACAGACCAGATGTGATGGGAGACGCAACGATAAAATGCACTTTGCTACCCTGGACTGGACCCTGAAGCAGAAAAAGGCCACAAGGGGAAAAATTAGTACAGCGCAAATAAAATAAAGTCAGGCATTTAGTTAATAGTAACGTCCCAATGCTGCTTGCTTAGTTGGCAAATGCACCCTACAACTGTCAGAAATGCAAAACATTAGATGAAACTGGCTGAGAGTATATGGAATTTTTTCAAATGTTCTGCAAATCTAGAATCATTTCAAAATAAAAAGTGTAGTCAAGGCTGGGCATGGTGGCTCACACCTGTAATCCCAGCACTTTGGAAGGTTGAGGTGGATAGATCACTTGAGGTCAGGAGTTCGAGACCAGCCTGGCCAACATGACAAAACCCCGTCTCAACTAAAAGTACAAAATGTAGCTGGGCGTGGTGGCATACGCCTGTAACCCCATCTACTGGGGAGGCTGAGACAGGGGAATCGCTTTAACCCAGGAGGTGGAGGTTGTAGTGAGCCAAGATCGTGCCACTGCACTCCAGCCTGGGCAACCGAACAAGACCCTGTCTCAAAAAGAAAGAAAGAAAGAAAGAGAGAAAGAGAAGAAGGGAGGAAGGGAGGAAGGGAGGAAAGGAAGAGAAAGAGAAGGAAAGAAAGAAAAGTGTAGTTAAAACAAAGATCTATCCATAGATAGGAACTTTGTATTTTTAATTTTAAAACAGCTTTATTAAGGTATAACTGATATACAATCTAATGACACATATTTACTATGTATGATTTGATGAATTACCTCCTGGCTCCTGGTAACCACCATTCTATTCTCTGCTTCTATGAGTTTGACTATTTTAGGTACCACTTATAAGTAGAGTCATGTCCTCCTGTAACTGGCTTCTTTCACTCAGCAGACACCCAAAATAATTGAAATAAGGTTATTGAAGGGATATTTGCACTCCCTGTTCATTGCAGCATTATTCACAATTGCCAGTTTACAGAAACAACCTAAATGCCCATTGACAAATCAATGGGTTAAAAAAATGCGGTATTAGCCGGGCACGGTGGCTCAAGCCTGTAATCTCAGCACTTTGGGAGGTCGAGACGGGTGGATCACGAGGTCAGGAGATCGAGACCATCCTGGTTAACCCGGTGAAACCCTATCTCTACTAAAAAATACAAAAAACTAGCCGGGCGAGGTGGCGGGCGCCTGTAGTCCCAGCTACTCGGGAGGCTGAGGCAGGAGAACGGCATAAACCTGGGAGGCGGAGCTTGCATCCGGCCACTGCACTCTAGCCTGGGCCACAGAGCGAGACTCCGTCTCAAAAAAAAAAAAAAAAAAAAAAAAAATTTGGTATTTAGTATACAATGAAATATTACTCAGCCTTAAAAAAGAAGGAAATCTTGATGTTTTTGACAACATAGATGAACCTGGAGAATATTATAGAAACTTGATATGTGATCAAGACAGCAACAAAATCAGTGGGAGAAGGGTGGTGTGGTAAATTATAAAATATGGTCATAAATTCCTCCCACCCTGGTATTCATGCCGCTTTGCAATTTGACTTTGCAGTTCTTCCCATTGGGAGGTTGGGATGTTTCTTCCCCTGTTGGGGAGCAATTTGGATTCACAGATCTCCAGGGGTAGCTGAGTGCCGGTGTCATGATACTGTTGTTATCTTCTCATTTAACATCTCCTCTCAGAGTACTCCTGGCTTGCTAGTTTAAATTGTGAAAATTTTCTGCATTAGCCTCATTTTGCTTATATTCTTTAGTCTTTACTGTTCATTACTGTTTAAATGTGTTAACATTTAAATGACATCTATACTGTAATTTTTCTTTGTCCCTACTGAAGTCATCCTGGACTGCTAATTGCA